CCACAGCAGTCAGGCAAGAGAAGGAAATAAAGGGCGCACAAATCGGAAACGAAGCAGTGCAACAACCTCTACTCACAGGTGACTGACACAGGTGACATGGACTTGGAGAATCTTGGTGGGTCCACAGAAAAGGCTGAGACCTGGTGACAGAACTCACCAGCTGTGGCTGAGGCCGACACAAACTGGCTGTGCTTCCACACAGCCTCAGCGAGTGACCCAAATGTGACATTAAGAAAAAAATTCCATTTACAATAACTCCAGAAAGACTAAAACACCCAGGGACAAGCACTTAATTGAAGGAAGACTTGTTCACTGGAAACTCTAAGAGATTAATGAAAGAAATTACAGAATAAATGGAAATACATTCTGTGCTAAAGTTTAATATTGCTAGGACATCAGAATTCCCCAAAGCGATCTACAGAGGCATTGTGATGTCTATCAAAAGTACTATAGATTTGTTGCTTTTTTGTTTGTTTGAAGAAATGTTAGCTAAATCCTAAAATTTCTATTGAGTCACAACTTATCCCAAAGCAGTCTGAAAAGAGCAAATTTGGAAAACTCACACATCCCTAGGTCAAAATTTATTTCAATAAAATAAACTTATGACAATGGTGCTGTAATTGAAACTATGTGGTACCGGCACTAAGAGAGCCATGTGGACCAGTGGACCAGGACAGAATCCAGAAATAACCCCCCATATCCGTGGTCACAGGATTTTCGGCCAGGGTGCTCGGACATCACAGAAAGAATAGTCTCTTCAACACGTGCTGCTGGGGAGACAGGATTTCCACAGGCAAGAAGGAAGTTGGACTTGTCCTACTCCATATGTACACATTAATACAAAATGGATCAATCTTCAACATACGAGCTAAAACTATAAGACTAAGGAAAAAACCTGCAGGCACATCTTAATAACCAGCAACAGCATGAGCAATAGCAGAAAAAACAGATAAATTAGACTTCAAAGTAGAAGAATAAAAAATAGGAAAATTATCTGTCTTCAAAATAGGTAAATTAGGTTACCCAAATTTAACATTTTGCACATCTACAATCTATAAAGCGAAAGAAAATATTTCTAAATTATGTAGCTATTAAAGGTAAAGAATCCAGAATGAATAAAGAACCAAAGCTTAACAACAGAAAACAAACAATTTAAAAAAGAAGGACAGGGAAAGGACTGAATAAATATTTTTCCAAAGATACACAGCTGGCCGATGCGCACCATCCTGGTCCCCAGCGTCAAGCCCCGGGGCTCCCCTTCCCCAGTGTGATGGAATAGGCCCCGTGTGCAGTGCGAATTGAAAGGCCACAACTGCTCACACAGCCGGACACAGAATCACCTCACCCCAGCAGGTCCTCCTCTGAGCGCCACCCAGAAGGCCTAACACACAGGGCTCCAGCAGGCACCCGCACACCCATGGTGTAGCGGTGCTACTGCCATCAGGTGGGCCTGGGGCAGCGTCTCCAGGCTCTCGGCGTCCCCACAGAGAATTGAGCAGGGCCCCAGGAGGAGCAGCAGGAGTGAGCAGTATTAAGACGGAGTAAGGGGAAGAAGCCAAGGTGCACCCTACAGGCTGGGAGCGGCCCCGGGGCACCTCTGGGTCTCGCGGGTCCTGGGGTCTCCAGAGGGTCTGCAGCTGGGGACAACGGACAGCAGTCCTGGCCCAACAGGCACCAGACGCGGCCTGCCCACCAGGCGGGCACTGCTGACCACAGCAGATCCCGAGGAAGGGTCACGTCATGGCGCCCCACACCACAGAGGGCTCAGAGCACGATGCAGCCGAGGCTGGGCACAGGCCCAGTGCTGTACTTGGGGGTCTGCCCTGCCTGGGATCTAGGGACCGGCGACCTTTACCTTTGGTTCTCTGGTATCTTGACATCAGTGTCCTTGCTCTGATGGTTCCTTCATTCTCATCCCACGGCTTCCTGTTTGCTGCCCTTGCTCTACCTGCACCTCAATCACCAACACAAACGTCCATCGCCCACCATGGTAATGGAGCACTGGACACAGCCACACGGAGCAGGAAGGGGCGCTGCCTCGGGCTCAGCACGGACAAGCCCCTGGAGCCCTGCCAGGAGAGAGAATCGAGAAGCGCCCGTGCCTCAGGGTCTCCTTGGCACTAGATGTGCAGTATGTTAGATCCACAGGCAGGGGCAGAGAGGGGACAGCTGTGGCCATGGCCATGGGAGAACAGGAGCGATGGGATGTTCGGGAACTGGACAAAGGAGGTGGTCCAGCAACATCAGGGGTGCACTGAACTTTACACCCTAAAACGCTTGATTCTTAGGTTGTGCAAAACTCAGCTCAATTTTTTGAAAAAAGGCTAGGAGTAAAACGCCGCAGACAGAAGTGACAAGGAGGGAAAAGTGTGCGGCATGTCCCTGCACGCTCCTGCAGGCTGCTGGACGCCAGCTCTGCTCTGCAGGTTGATACATAAAGGGGAAGAATAAACAGCCGTCCGCCTTCCTGGTGTGACCCGCATCTCACCACGAATCCACAGCCCTGGGGGGCGGGGTCTTCTGCTCACAAGAACCCAAGCGCATAATTTTGGAAGGAATGAAAAAATTAGAGGTCTCGACACCTTATTTAAAAACTGACTGGTGTGGTCATGGATGAGGAGGAAGCTCCCAGGCGGAAGAAGGGCAGGATCTGCCCTGGAGGGATCCAGCGGCACCATCAGAACCACCGCCAGTCTCAGCCAGGCGGGGACACTGACAGCCCTGCCCTCAGACGGAGGAGGTCTGGAGCCAGCCTCGGGCTCCGCTGCGCCTGCATCCCGTGGGAGCCGGGCGCTGCTTCACGGAGCCAGCAGCAGCATCAGGATCCGAGGGCGCAGCTGGACATCTGACTGATTTCCTCCCAAGGAAGGAAGGCATCAGGAGATGGGAAACAGCGTGCCGTAGGGAGGACACTTCTCTAGCCGCAGGGACCCGGGAGCGGTGGCATTCAGCACGGTGTACGGGGGTTTGCGTCTGGACCCAGTTGAACCAGCTGTTAAAATTCAGAGTTTTAGGGGTCAGGGATTTAGCTCAGAGGTTTCGCCGCCTGCTGCGCAAGCGCAAGGACCCGAGTTCGATCCCTGTTACCAAAAAAATAAAATAAAATAAAATTCAGAGTTTTAGACAACGAGGAAGTGGAGCGTGGCCCGAGGTGGAGGCTGCGACCCTGCTATCCTGGCCCCCGTCACCCGTCCCTCTCCCTGGTACAGCTTCCAGCCCCCGGAGACCTGGCTGTGCTCACGCGGGCTGGTGGCCCCTCTGCCCCCGGGACAGGGCCTCACTGCCACCAGCGCCAGCCCCTCTCCACGCCGCCTCCTCCAGGGACACGGCCCCGCGGCCCCACGAGGGCCTCTGGGCCCCAGGGCCCCAGGGCCCCTGAAGAAAGGGGAAGGTAGAGCGTCCCTGGGTTGGGGGCACACGTGTTCCAGAGAGATCTAAGTGTGCGCGCCCTTACGCACGCTCGGTTTCCATCACCAACACCAGGAGGGTGTGCAGTGGTGCACAGGGTCTCGGTACACATCCAGGGCCCCGTCGCTGCTCAGAGCGCAGAGCAGAGACCTTCTCCTCCACCCTGTGGTCCTGTGACAGCTCCACCCTCCCTGCGTCCCTCCCACTCAGCACGGTTTGGGGCCTTGACCTCCCCTCCCCCTTCGTGTGCGTCCCGCTGCCCAGCGACGGCTACTTCCTGTCCCGCCCACCTCCCCTCCGCCCCCCACAGTGACCTTCCGGGCGTTCCCTGCACAGCTCGGTCAGTGCTTCCCTGGGCGCAGAGGGGACAGGAGGGCCCCAGCCACGGCCCCGCACCCCGACTCATCAGGTCCCCCACAATGACCTTGCGTTTCCCTCCGAGATAGTCTGGATTCTGAGGGAGCAGTTGCGAATTTCTCAGATTCCTCTCTGTGGCGCCTTCCAAATTCCCAGGGTTGGATTTATGACGGATGTGAGAATTTGTGGGGTCTCTGAGACATGAGCTCCTACAAAGCGAGGCTTTCGCTGCATTTCCAGCACCGAGAACTTCAAAAACATGTTCTTCGTCAGTCTGTGAAAGTTTACTGTAATACATTCATTTTGTCTCAAAATGAATAAATTTAAAGATCTATTACATTTCTAAGGAAAATAAATTTTTACAAATTTTTTTATTGTTTCGGTTTTTTGAGAGAGGATCTTGTTTTTGGTATCAGGGATTGAACTCGGGACCTTGCGCTTGCAAGGCAGGCATCGGAACCACTGAGCTAAATCCCTGGCAAGAGAGAGGGATCTTGCTATGCAGTTGAGGCTAGAACTTTGGGCAATATCCCTGCCTCAGCCTCCCAGGTGCTGGGATCATAGCTGTGCACCACCATTCCCAGCTCAGGAAAATAAAATCTTGAAGGTGAAGAGGGACTTAAGTTTCTGAATGTGAACTGAAATGTCCTAAAATTATAAGGCATAGACGGGAGGAAAGCACTCAGAGAAAATATGACAATGACAAGCAAGCTTCTATCCTCAATATATTAAGAGAAAATTCAAATCAATAAGAAAAAATCACAGAAAATGGCACACACAGTGGAGCCGGTATCCCCGACCAGCAAATAGGAAGACACCAGCTCTGCCTGTTGGGTGGGACACCAAGCCTGTCACTTCCTGTGTGGGGAGACTTGGGCTGGCTCCTGCCCTGGGCTGAGCGAGTCAACTGTGTGACACCCCAGGCGGGCAGTGAAAGTGCCGACACCTTCACTCACGAGCTTTTGCTCCACGAGCAATTTCCCATGAAGACAAGCTCAGGGACACGGGAACAGGAAGCGACTCAAGCAGCGAGGCCACCCACTTGCTGCCCGCAGCACCAGGAACCAGGCAGCATTTGGCACCCACATGGGCCACCTGCAGCTGCTGCCAGGCCGACCAAGCCTCACCACTGAGCCACTTCTGCCCAACTCCCAGGATTCCACTTCAGTCCCCACCTTCATCGTGAGCCCGGCAGGCCTGCAGGATCGGTATGCTCAAGCCACTGCCACGTGGTGCCTGGGATGGGTGGACAGATGAATGGGCGGATGCAGAGGTGGGAGGTGCCTGACTCCGTCCAGAAGCCGGGCACAAGTGAGCCCTTCTACAGAGGCGGCAGCTGCCTGCGTGTCAGGAGGGGTCTGAGGCTTCTCCTTCCTTTGTTCATTGGAACATAAGCTCCATTGGTGGGGATCCTGGCCAGAAGGAGAGCTCCACCCAAAACATCAAAGAAGGAGCCCTTGGCTCTCAGAGGCGCTGGGCAGCGAGGGATGGACAGAGGCCCAGAGCCCAGAGGGAACAGCAGCAGGGGAGATCGGCACCTCCAGGGTAAGGGCCTGGGGGCTGCAGAGCCTGCCACAGGGCCACCCACAGCACCAGTGGCCCGGTGCCCTGGAGCAGGCAGAAGTCTGGCCACACTGGACTCTGTCCCCCGGCAGTGGCCAGCTGGGACTGCAGGGGACCTGCTAGATGGCCTGCCCTTTGCACAGAAAACCACAGTCTCTCTCCCTTCAAACACCCACTGGTCCCAATAAGACCAGGCATAAAGAGGAAATGCAAAAATAAATCTGCCAGCTGAAATCTAGTGAGAAACAGCCCTGTGCCTTTGGCCAAAAGACTGAGGAAATGCCAAATATAATTTTTCCCCATTCACATTATATCCACAGGCTCCTGTCAAGGAAATACCTGATCGGACCCCAAAATGAGCGATTACGAGCGACTGCTGGCTGGACAGAAGGCCCCCGTGGAGGAATGCAGTTTTGGAAAGTGACAGATCTGGGGGTGCAGCGGGCCAGCTTCCCTGTGCAGGAGGGTGGCCACCAGGAGGGGTGTCCAGGACCAGTTCCCAGCAGAGGGGACCCCAGCCCCTGAGGCCCAGGAGCACAGCCCTGAGCCAGCATGCAGGAATGCCAGGACCTGGAGCCCAGCCGTCGCGGTCAGGAGTCCTCCCAGCCTGGAGGGCTCAACACTGGCCTGGTAGCCACAGACCCAACAAGCGTCCGAAGTGTGGAGTCCCATGGGGCACGAGGGGGTCCCCCGTGTGTAACAGCAGCATCCTGACATGCAGGTGGGGGCATGTGAGGTGTGTGGGTGCACAGAGACCTGGCTGGGGACCCCGGGGCGAGGGGCAGTTCTGGGCACCATGGGGAGCAGCTACTGATGCGGCAGCTGCACGTCAGCTGTCCCCTGAGCTCCGGGCACTGGCCACCACCGTGGCACCCCAAATGCAGACCCCACCATCCACATGCTCGGGATGGGCCCTCACCTCATGTCCACAGAGCCCAGACGGCAGCTGGACGCCAACTCCACAGTGGCCCATGCTGGCTGTGAGGCCCAGAGTCACACGGCAGACAAATCGCACTTCCCTCGGGACACCAACGTCCTTCGGCCAGCACTGGACCTGGGACCTGAGGCACACAGGAGCCTTGGGGCCAGAGCCCAGCTGCCCCCAGAGCCAGGCGCCCAGAGTCCCTGCAGCCCACACGGGAGAGACAGCCAGGCCACTGGCCTCACTCTCCGAAGGGCAGTGCGGGGTCTGTGGCCTGGCCGGGCCCTGGGAGGTCACCCCGCTCCTGTCCTGTGTCCTGCGAGAGAAGGGTCCCGGGCTGCTCAGGTCGGGAGGCCACCTGCGCCCCCTCCAATCCCCAGGTCAGAGTGGGCGCCTGTCCCCACCTCCCCACAGGTGGCCGAGCTCCTCAGCTCCACAGGGTGAGGCCAAGAGGCCCCAGGGAACCCCAGACCCACAGACAGGGTCTCCCCGGGGGCTCCCGGGCCCTCGCATGCCGTGGTCCTCGGCTGAGCCCTCCCCTCCCCCGCCACAGAAGGATTTGGGGCGCAGCCTGGCCCCACCGTGCTGACCCTCCCCGCCCAGCAGGCCCCCACTCCCCAAGGGCTGCGACTGCCGGGTGGGTGGAGCCGACAGCACACAGGGCCCCTGGCGTCTTGTCTCCTGCGGGGATGAGGAGCGTGGGCACCGCCTGAGGAACCGCTGCCCGGTCACTGTCCCGGCTCCTTTCTCCCTGCTGTGGACCCGGCTCCCACCCGGCCAGGAGGCTGAGACCCCGCTGCCCACAGAGACCACAGGGCAGACGGTCGCTTGCTGGCTCAGCACTGCTGTCACCCAGCCAGGCGTGGGAGCCGATCCATCACAGGCTCCAGGCAAAAGCACAAAGAGGTGGGTGTACTCGAAATCTTGCCAAGATGACTAAGCAGCTCATGTGGACACCGGCAGCCTCCTGGATGCTCCCACGGATAATCCCTCTTCCTGTCATTTCCGCAACGCCTGTTCCGTTTCACGTGCAGAGGAGGCGTTTTTCTGATCCCTCCTCCCCTGGCCGCTTACTCGCCCAGTGAAACTCCAGTGTCCTGTACACCACTGCTGGAGTGGTGCTGGCTGTGACAGCCTCATTCAGGGCACACCTGAGCAGGGCACCCTCGGCCTGTGTGGGAGGCAGGAGGGCCGCCAGGAACCCTGGGCACGCTGGACAGAGCCCAGCTGAGCACAGCCCAGCCAGGTCTCCCTGGCCAAAGGCAATGAGAGACCTGGCGCTGTGTGGGAGGGCGCAGGTCCACGGCGGCCCAGGACAGGGTCTCCCTCCCTCACATGGTGCCCCGCGGACCCTCAGCCACCCTGGGGTCCCCAGGCAGATGCAGGAGGAGGGATCCTTGCCAAGCAGGTGCTTCTGGGGTCACAAGAGCTCCACCAGCTGCAGAAGCCAGCAGCCCCACCTCTTCATCCTCGGTGCTGGCTGTGTCGCATTGCACATTGGTCCCCCAGCTCTGCCTCCTCTGCAGGCCGCATGGTGTCGGGCCACTGACCTCGGGTTCCCGCTGGGGAGGGCAGCTGCTCCCTGAGCCACCCTCATGTGGGCTGCGGTGGAGCCAGCACTGTGCGTCCGGCAAGCGTGGAGTCAGCAGAGGTCTCCCTCAAAGGCGCTGCGTGGAAGCTCGAGACCTGGTGGCCTGGCTCCCACTCTGCCAGGGCCATGGAGCACCAGCCACACCCAGGGAGAAACTGCACCTGGGCAGTGTGGCCCACGGCGATGCTCAGCTGGCTGGGACACGGCGGGCTCTTCCCCAGTCCAGGCCCGAGTTCCTGTCTGTCCAGCAGAGCACGGGGAAGGTGACATGGAAGGCACAGATCTGCATGAGCTGCCCACACACCCGGCAGGACACAGTCGCTGACACACCTGAGGTGGGCGAGGACGAGCCGCTCCAGGTCCGCACCCCGAGTCTGCGGGACCTGAGAGGAGCCCGGGGCCATCGCCCTCTAAGTGTGTTTGTTGAGTTTGTGCAGAGCACGTGCCCTGAGGCCCGGGAGCCACTTGTCAGGAGATGGACGCCTCCCCCAGGTCCCCAGCACGGCACCCCCGGACAGCGCCCCTTGTGGGCCATCTGTGCCAGGAACGGGAGCCCAGATTCTCGGGGCGCAGTGCATGCGAAACAGCTGGGCTTCCCGGAGCACGGGCCTGGGTGACGGGGCAGTTATCGGGGCGCACACGTACTCCCCAGGGTCTGCAGAGTGGTGGACACGTGTGCCGGCCAGGAGGAGGCTCTTCCCCAGCCGGCCGCAGCGCCTCGCCTGCTGCACCGGTGATGTGCCCCGGTTACTCCTGGCCAAGCGGGGCAGATTCTATTCCAGTGATGATCTGACCGGCAGCACTGACTGAGGACAGATCAGGCGGCACAGCTGAATGCAGGGACTAGAAGCCAAGCACAGACAGACCCCACCCCAACGCTGTCTCCGCCGGTGGGAGGAGCAGGGAGCCGCAGCAGGCAGGCAGCCCGGGCACGCTGCAGGGCTGGGCGCCGGCCTGCTTCTGCACAGCTCCCGCACCCCAGGGCCCAGGCAACGTCTCCCTCAGCCAGAGCGGCCAGAGGAGAGGACGGGGCAGGGAGAGAGCTAAGCGCCCAGGGACAGGCCAGGCCGGGGGGAGGAGCCTGCGTGTGTTTGGCCTTCAGGACTGTGGGAAGGCGTGCCGGCCTTTGGCACGTTTACACGTGGTGGGGTTTTCTTTGTGATAAAATGTACATGGCATGAGGTTTGCCACCTTGGCGTTTCCAAGAGCAGCGTGGTGGCCACACTGTTGAAACTCTGTCCCCATGAGACACAGCGTCCAGGCCCTCCGGCCAGCGCCGCTGCCCCGGGAGTGGGGGCCTGGCTGCTCCGGGGCCTGGCAGGTGGACCCTCCTGTCACCCAGCTCAGGCGCCCGAGGCCGTCCTTGCTACGGCTCCTGCCGGGCCCCCCATTAAGGCCGCCTGATGACCAGGGTCTGACTTCTGTGGCTTGAGTGTAGTGGTTTCTCTGCTTTAGGGCTTTACCACCTTTCATTTTCCACATTACAGCCTCCCTTTGTCTTCACCTGATTTTTTTTGGTAGTAAAAAGTTTAAATTCCTTTCTCGTTTCCTTTTGTGTGTATTCTACAGCTACTTTCTTCGTGGTTACCATGGGGGTTGCATCTAATGCCCTAAAGTTCTTACACCCTAATTTGGATTAAGCAGAGTAAACAAGCGCTTGTCACCCTGCAGCCAGCCACTCACGTCCCTCAGTGACTTTTTCTGTCCCTGTGTGAAAAAAGGGAAAGAGCCAGGGCAGGGTGGGGAGAAGGAAGAGAGGGAGGAGGAAGAGGAGGAGTCAGAGGAGGGGCAGGAGGAGGAGCAGGAGGAGGAGCAGGAGGAGGAGCAGGAGGAGGAGGAG